AAAAAAAAAATGCGAAGCTTTATCGTTCGATAAGGATGATCAGCAAAGGACTTATAGCAGGAGCTTGGTAAAAGTAATTTTCAAAAACAAGCTTTTAGAGTGCACTGAACGATGAGCACGATAATCTGGATGCTGCGCGAAAGATTGAAGCTGAGGCGTCAAGGCGTTTCGGTGGTCGATTCAATTCAATTGTTTCTGATTCCGAATTTGCTTACGTGAATTGGTACGGCAAACGCAACTGTCAATTACGGGTCCGCGGAAGGCACTCGCTTACTTGGGAAGATTAGTCAAGTTAACTTATGTTAGTTGTGATGCCAAATACGGTTCGGTACTTTCCGTAAAGGAAGAGATGGAAAGGAGAGGAGCACCTTGGAACACACTTTGAAACACTAAACAAAAATACTGCTGGAAATACTTTTTTATAAAAGCTCTGAATTTTTTATTCGCCTCTCAGAAATCTATCCTACACTTGTCAGAGCGAGTGCTTGAGCCTTTTTTCCATCTCACCCTGTTCCTTTCAGTAACTGTGCTTCCTTTGTAGTGCGAAAAAATTTGGTACAAATTTTACTTTGCTGTTCTTTGCGTTCAGTTTTAAAAGTTGTACTGAAGAACTGGAGGAGCTACATAATTATTTTTTCGCCTGAAAATTTGACTCAGGAAATTTTGAAATGAATTGAAAAAATTTTTGATTTTGTTTTGGTTCAATTTTTTGCTAGATATCAGTGGTTAGTTTGTATTGATGATTTTCAACGTCGGCTTCGAATTCGTGGATTTTGGCTTAAAATTTTTATATGACCATTGAATTTTAAAACAAATTGCGCTTTGCTCACAAATTTGTTTCAACATGCGATGTTTATAGCAGAACGATTTCCTGTTGCAGCTGTCAGTACAGTGCCAATTGTTAGATTTTCCTCTGATAATTTAGTTTTTTACATAAGTGAAAATTTAAAAATGTAGGAGAAACAGTTAATAATCCAACAATGTCGCGAATCTTTTGGCAG